GTCGCACAATTTGACTTAAGCTTAAGAGCCTTTAACGTGGCTTAGCTAAACATTTGAACTCCGTAGCAGCAGTTGGCTGACCTCATAAGGTCACCTGAACTCTGATAGACCTGAAGTCAATAACCAATTAATTTGAAAGATGTTGCATGTACAGTCCTGACTGATTAGCGTGGGCCCCACTGATTAATTAATCAGTGGGGCCCACGCTAATCAGTCAGGGCTGTACATTTTACAGTCCATTAATGACTGTACAAGGGGAAAAATTCATTTTACAATTTGTTTAATCTTGTGTTTTCTTTCGACATGTCATTCTAAACTACATCTAATATTTTTTTTTATTATATGGGTGTGATCAGGAACTCATCATTCTAAAAATATTTTCATTTTATTATTTTTTGGTACATTCTTGGTACACATTAATGTTGACATTGTATGAGATGTAAAGATCTGTGCCATGAATTATTTTTTAAGTGTTATTGAAATTAAGAGTAAAAAAATGTGCCACCTCACGTAATATAAAAAAAAAAAAAACTGTCAAACTTAATGTTGTGCCATGAATTATTATTAAGTTTTGAAATTAAGAATAAAAAAATGTGCCACATCACGTAATATAATAAAAATCTGTCAAACTTAATGTTACTGTTGCGTGACTGTTATTGCCTAGATTGATTAATCATCTTATGAGTTCATACATCTCAAACATGGGCAGACACAAGGGGTCATGTGGGGGTCCACAAAAAATTTCTATTTTTTTTTTTTTTTCCAATTATGCGTTTGCCCTTTCTCCTGTTGTAATTGACCTAACAATAGGGAATTGACATTGTTACATCTAACAATTAAAACGAAGGATAATGCTTGTTGTACATAATTTATGTACATAAATGGTACATAATGTGATATGACAATTATCCGATAGTTGATGTGAAAATGTGAGATTCGAATTAAAAGTTGGATATGTACCACATGTAATTATATAAACCATTGTATAAGAGATTATGTATCCGTAGCAAAGTCCTAAAATGAATGCAGACTAAGTTTATAATGTTGCCTTCTCTCTTTTCCTTTTCAGCTTCTCCTTCCTTTTTCTTTTTAAACTTTATTTTGGTTCAATCTTTATTGTTTTTTCTTTTATTTCTTTTCTCTCTCTATCTTTTCTCATTACAAGTCAATCTTAATTAAAAAAGACGACTTCACTTAGTTTCACTTCCTTTTTTCTTTTTCTTTTTCGTTTAGTTTGTCACTATTTGGCACATGTTTACTTACTCTCTTATTTTAATTTAATTTTATTTGACCAGTTTGATTAGAGTATTACAATAAGATAATCTCTACACATTAGTTTCAGATTTTTTTTTATGCACGAAAAACAATTAAACATGATTAAAGAAGAATAAATTATTAATACGGTGACTCAATTTTTAGGTAGCACAACTTGATTTTTCATGACTCGTATTGAACTCGACTATAGAGTTCGAAGCCTATATAAGTACGTTTATGTAATTCGATAAACTTAAAAAGTTATAAGAAATCAAATAGTAGAGAAATTACAAATCCGTCATGTATATTGAAAAAATGTACTCAATAAAAATATATTTTCGAAAATAATGTTAAACTTATAATATAAAACTCAAAACACATGTTGACATTTTAAGTGGTTTTCAACGAGAAAACTCTAAAAACACTTAAAACATAGGAAATAAGCTTTTACATAAAATTTATTTACATAAAATTCTAAAGGTTAAAAATTCTAAAAAAAAAACACATTATTCTAAAAAATAAATTTCAAAAAATACAAAATACAAAAAATAATTTTAAAAAAATTAAAATAAAAGTGTTGAAAAATAAAATCTATTAAATAGATACGATTTAGAAAATTATAGTAAGCCTGTGTTTGATACACATTATTTTTGGCCAAATAGAAAAAATCTGACCATTGCAACAGACAAAGCCTGACAAAAGGTTCAGCTCTACAGTGCCAATTTTGACAATTTCTGAATTGGACTTCCATATTTACCCTCATTGTAATTTAAAATTCAATAGCAAGAAAATGATTAAAGGGCAAAGTTGTAAAAAATTACTACAATCCATTTGACTACAAAACCAAGCTACAGACGTGGGACCCACCTGATGTGATGCTAGAATGCATTTTTTTGGAAAATAATGTGTACCAAACGCAGGCTAAAAAATAAAAATAGTTCAAGTTCTTATGAATTATTTATATAAAAATTTTAAAAAGATATATTTAAATGAATACGAATACAACATTAGCTTTTATCTTTTATTTTCTTTTTTTTTTTCCAACTCGATTTATTATTTATTTTTATTTTACTTTTGTAGCGAGAAAAATATTGTAAAATTTACAAACATTGAAATGTATATATTACTTGAAAATATATTTAAATAGAATTATTTTGTTTTACCGAATACTCAAAATTTTAAACCAAACATTAGTAATAGTTTTTTGTTTTGAGAAACAGTTTTTCTGAATGATAAATCAAACCCCTTTTTAATAATTTTAAAACAGACTTTCATACAGAACAATAAAAATAAACTAAAAATTGAAACATAAATGAAAAGGGTCCTAAAATTCTTAACTCCAATTTCCACCGACTAAAAAAAAGGAGGAAGGAAAAGATTGGACAAGTGTTATATGACAACTCATTATTAAGTCCAATTCATTGATGTTTGTGCTATTGCAGCATTTGTCATGGAATTCGTTATGTACACGCATGATTTTATTGTACTATAGTATACATTGATAAAGCTAGAGTTCATACTTAAATGATGATGTTTAGCCAAGTAGGTGAGGGTGTGTATTCATTTGATAAGTATATTTCGTCATGTAATGAATCTTATAAATGTTATTTATCATTTTGGAAATAGTTTATTATTTATAATGTTAATTTCCAAATACCTTCCGTTCTATATTTTAAGTAAACATTTAAACTAAATATTAATAAGATAACGTTAGTATTTAGTATGTTAAACATATATGTCTATTCTAAGAATTTCAAAATCAAACGCCTACTTTATGTACAACTATTTATTATTATTAAATGGTCTGAAAATCATCCTAAGAATGCAGTTATAACATTTTGATGATGTATATTTTATTATTTCAAATGTTTTGATAATAAAATTAACTAAAAATACTTAAAAATCTATTTTATATTTGGGGCATTACATGTTTTGTGTTCTTACAAGGAAAGAATTTGGTGCCTACGATGTTAGAAGTGGTTTCTAGTTGTGGTGATGGTGTTGCGTAAGTTGTTCTGATGCTGTTGTCATTAACAGTGGTGGACGGAGGTACGAGGTGGTGATTATTATGGTTTTTATTTTTAAAAAAATTACGTACGTCACAACAAAGATTATATATATATATATATATAGACTAATTAAAAGAAATTACACACACACTACTTTGCCAAAAAATTAAATACATATAAAAAACTACCTAAAACTGCAATTATCAAAGTTTTTTTCTTTAAACACTATTTGGAATTATAAATTTACAAAATAAAAAAAAATGAAAATATTTTTCAATTCATTTGCGCAAAATATATATATATATATATGATGTCCCTTAAATCCACGTGTGGCTCGGTCTACATAGTTGGACAATGCAATATTCAAATAGTTTGGCTGGGCCGGGTCTTAAACTGATCCAGAACTGGATATCCGATCCAGATAGAATGACGAAGAGCACAATGCATATTCAGTTTGTTGCATGGGCGCAACGTGTCAAATCCCCGTAACAGCACATTGCAGTTGTAGGCATTATAAAGTGGATCATCCCCATCTCTCACAGAGATATACGGCTTTTCAAACCCAAAATCATCCATTGCAGATTAAGGAATTAATACACAGACTTTGCGCATCTGTAAAACATGGAGAAGAAGAAACATCTATCTTCCATTGCCAATGATGTCTTAAACAGATGTGCCCAGTAATTTCTTTCACTCCCTCTTCTAAATTTTTGGCAATTTTTTGGGTTTTTTTTTTTTCTTTTTTTTTTTTTTTATATCGGAAGTGTACGATATCGTAACAAGTAATATAGTGGACCTTTGAGTCTGGATATCGTTCTCACGAGGATTATATTTCAGACTTAATCTACATTTCCTAACTTCTATCTGATTAAAAGTCAAATTAAGAATGGTAATAGTTGTGAATAAGTGATTTGTGATCTAATTACCTTAAACTAATGGAAAGTATAGGAAAATTGCAAACAATGATTGATAAAAGATTTGAATACGTAATGAATATTAGGACAAAACAAGTTCATCTAATGATCACTGTAATTCTTAATTCAAGATTCTAGCCTAAGGTAGTGTTCGATCGAATTCTCCTATTGTATTCAATTTATCACTCTCGAGTTCTCATTGAGCCTATTTAACTAATTCAATTCCATTTCTCTATGTGAATTACCCTTAATTAAACGGAATATGGTTCTAAGAATTTTTATTACGATCGCAATAATTAGTATAGGTATCTCTACACGTTATACTACTTTACCGAATTTTATTATGCGGTATAAGCCTCAAACTCACCTCTCGATTCGTAAGAAATTCAAATAATCATCAAATTACTGCTGGATAATTTAAAGCATTAACTTCATAACAAAATCAACACAGAATAAACCACAGAAATCTTTGAATAAAAGAATCAAGGCTCACAAAAGACTACATTGTTTGACATAATCTAAAGTTTAATTACTCATAATGTAAAAGGAAAAAAAATGTCTTTGAGTACATCACCGGATTAATTGAATAAAGATATAAAAAAGAATCAACTATTGCACTAAAGTCTCCTTCCGCTTCCAATCTTTGTTTTAAACTTGAATCCCGTGATGAATTTCTTCTTTTGATTTAGCTCTTTGATTTCTCGTTGTATCTCTCATTTTTTCAATGTTTGGAACACTTAAAATTTTCTCCTTTCTTCTATTTATACTCCTTACATGATTTTCCAAAAATTGGAGTCTTTCGCAGCCCAAAAAACATAACCCTAAAATTTGCAACGCAGCGGCTAAGCTCTAGGATGCAGCGCCTAGGCGTCGCGATGACCTTTGAAGCAGCGCCAAAGCGCTATGGTTGCAGCACTTGGGCCTGAATTTCTAAAAAAAGCAGCCCTATAGCGCCTGGGCGCTGAGTCGCTGTTCCAAATTCTGCGTCTGTTTCAGTATGTTTATCATAACTTTTTTTTCTCGATATTCGATTAAGGCAATTCAAAATGAGTTGGAAATGTAACTTAAAGGGCTAGAACTTTGCTATAAATAACTGTTTTCAAATTAGAATGTTTACTAGACCAAAAATGGGTCTCAATCTCCAATTGAAAATCTGGAACATTCTTGTGCGGTTGAAAATTGATTTGTGAGGATTTGACGAGTATTGTTCAAAATCAAACAAGAAAAAGTGAATAGTATTGTATAGTCCCTGTCTAATATGTGTCTAATAAATGCTTTCAGGAAATTGGATACTTCTGTAGATTCATTGGTGGAAGAATCTGAGAGAGAATGGGACTCTCAGATGAATGAATATTCAAAGAAACTAGTAGAATTTTGCTGCTCGAAAGTGCTTCCTGTGATGTGTATCAATATAGATGAAAATATTTGTGATGGCTCCTTTAGCCGCTTCACATTTGATATGATGCGCGCTTGGGAGATGCCAAGCTCGGCTGAGGAAGATTCATATATGGTGAGCAAACTTTATTTTGTCTCAAAATAAGTTCTTGTGGTAATATACATCCTACGAAATTCTCCAGTATATTCATGTGATGTAAGGGATCGAGTGCCCCTCTCTGTGCTACTATGAAGGCTTTAGCCATCGTTTGGTTTGGAAATCTGTGCTACTATGAAGATTTTAGCCATTGTTTCGTTTGGATTGAAATAAGATTTTTAGTAGATTTTGATAAAAGTTGACAAGACGTGTGGTAGAAAAATTCATAAAAGTTGTAGGTCCATGAATTGGGGTTGAAAATAAGTTTAAGAAAAAATGAGTTTTAAGAAATGGGGAGAAACTGGGGCTTAACGAGTGTGATATTATGCGATAACATAAGTTATTACAAGCTTGTTCTTGTCAATCCATAGTCTCCACCAACTCAGAAAAGATTGTGTGGACATAAAGAGTAAACTCAGCTAGAACATTCTATTTCTGTATAAGATAATTATTATGCAGATGGATTTTGAAATAAATTATTACACGCGTTCAAGTATGATTTTCAGATTGGTTGATTCATTTGAGACGGGCATTACACGTGTTCAAGAACAAAGAATGTTTGAAGTTAAATCTGTTAGTTTTGAACCATTTGTGCAAATGAAGACCAACTCGTGAATTATGTGCGGCATCACAAGTGGAACATGTTTTGATATTTTTTAAGAGTCTGCACTTTGGATGAAGTTTCAAGAAACCTGCCCAGCACTTCACTCTTTTTTTCTTGATTGTTTTAATAGATGGTCCTAGAGCTAAAATGTTTACTAGACTAGACCATTTGTGGCTCTGTCACTTTGGTGCAGAAGTTCCCTTGGTCATGCCTCTTCATTGACGAATTAAATTTTTTGAGAAAACTATATAATTTGCATGCGGTTCTTTTGACATCTTATATCTGCTTGATTTATGCACCTCTTCTTGTTTTCTAGGAGTGTGTGGCAAAAGAGAAAGAGGAGAAAAAAGTACCTATAAAAACCAGTCAAGAGCAAGATGACGTATCCCTTTTCTATTCTGATCTCATGCCACTCCTTGTAAGCATATCTGACTTCTGTTTTTTGGGTGTCACTACGAAAGATGGCTTGAACATAGTCCAGGTGTAAGCCGTAATAATCTAGTAAATGCAAATCGTAATTGCTGTTGTTCGATTTTCGACATAAGAATTGAGAAAAAAATGTCCATTTATCCTGGAGGAAACCGTTACATTTTAGATAATCTGCAAGATAACGTAAGGTGTCTGATTGCCTGGAGTATATTTTCATACTAAAAGGTAACTTTTGTTGGCAGGTTGATCACGAATCAAGTGTTGGAGAAGAAGCCTATGTGTGGTTGGCAATGCTCATTCCTTTGGGCGCCGATGTTGTTAATGGGACATTTACTTTTGAGACACTGACAGCACCCACGGCTAATCAACTTCACTTTCCTGCTTATGATCACTTCCTGAAAGAAATTAACAAGTAATTATATCTAACATGTCTCATCTCATTTAAATAGTTCAAGTGGCATTTTACCTAATTAGTGACAGACTACAATAATGCTTCAGCTGTACACAGGCACTTATTTAATTCATTTTTGGAGGGAGGAACAAATAACAGTTTCATAATTTCTCAGCTATATGTCTCTAGCTCGATCGATTTGATTATATCTTATGGATTCATAGGACTAAAACTGTAATGCCATGTGGTTTTTTTGGAAAAAAGTGATAAGGCTCTCTCAGTATTCACCGGGAGGATGGCAAGCTGTGTATCTTAATCTGAAACATGCTTGCATTTTCTTTTTGTGCACATTTTTCTGTTGATACGAGTTTTCTTGCCTTTTCTTTAGATGTATAAAGCATTTGCAGAAGCAAGAGACACCAACGGGTGTAACACTGGCAGATGATGAATTTATACTGCACGTGGAGGGAACTGCAGGCTCGCAGAGAGTGGTGCGCCATATCGGAGGAACCAGTTGGCCTGGTCTGTTAACTAATTTTATGAATTCTTCAGCGGTAGAGTTACTAGAAGTGCAGATACTCTTTTTACACAGATAAAATTGCTATGACTAAGATACATGTATGATTCTAGGCAGGTTGACGCTAACAAACTACGCCCTCTACTTTGAGACATCTGGTGTCGTATCTTATGAAGATGCGCTTAAACTTGACCTTTCAAAGGACATTGAGCAAAGTGTAAAACCTACTGCTACAGGTCCATGGGGTGCTCCTATTTTTGATAAAGCAATACTTTATGAATCTTCTGAATTGTGAGTGAAGTTAATGTCAGATATTCTGTCATATTGGAACAATTGTTTATTTAATGTTAATTTTGTTTAAGATATATGAAAAGGTTAATTTTTTTAGGCAAGAAGGTGTTCTCCTGGAATTCCCAGAGATGACGAGCTCAACAAGACGTGACCATTGGCTTGCACTCATGATGGAGATTATGTTATTGCATCAGTTTCTTTTGAAGTTCAAGGTGGAATCACCACTTGAAGCCTGGGAAATGCACGCAAGGACGATACTTGGAATTATAAGACTTCATGCAGCAAGAGAAATGCTAAGAATTTCACCTCCGATTCCAAAAGGCTTTTTAATTTTTGCTTTGCTCAATGAGTTACCAAAGGGGGACTACATACTTGAGGAGCTAGCCGAGAGTCTGAAGAAGGTTACCGGTGCGCATCTATGCAGTGCCAGCTCTATACTCAGGAACTTGAATGCCTCCCAACCATGTGTTCCTTGTTTAGAGACGAATGTCGGCAAAGAAGAAATTGCCCAGCATGAAAACCTTTCATCGTCAGTTAACCAGGCAAAAGAGGAAGGAAAAGAAATGGACATGGCCAAGGCCACAGCAGAGGGGCTAAAAGAGGACGGTATCAGTGAAAGCGCACAAGTTCTTGTGGTAAGCAGGTTACATAATCGTGTGAAGTTCAATGTTTAGTTACATCAAGTTACTGTCTTAAGTGCCTGTGATGATGTGCCTATAATTTATAGTCTTACAAATACAAGTAATACTTACTGCAATGCTATTTTTTCATGTTCAGGGACTACTAGAAAAGCTCAAGAATTTTTTCCTACGGTCTAGAGGAATTTTTACATGGGAAAGGCCCGTAACTACTTTAACTGTGATTTTTGCGTCACTAATAGTCATCTACAAGTAAGTTCAATTTGATCATTCGTCCAAATGAAGTAAGTTTTATGCTTCGGCTTTTCCCATCTGCTCAGAAGTCTGGTAGGCTTAAATTTTTTCGTCATGTAGAGAATGGGTTGGCCCAGTTATAGCAGCTTTCTTGTTGTGGGTGGTTGCAACCATGCTTTGGGCTAGACGGAAGAGGATTCCAGAAAGGCAAAACAAAATTGTAATCTGCACAGGTTCGAATCAGACGACAATGGAGAGCATTGTGTCAGCACAACAAGGATTAAGAACTGTACGTGAAGTAGTGCAGAATATAAACGTAGCGATGTTGAAAATCTGGTCAATTTTGGTCTCTAAAGCTCCGAAGGTATGATTATAGAGTAGTTGCTCTTGGTCGATGATATTGTTACCAAGACATTAAGAATAATTCATAATTTACTCCAACTCGTCTCGTTATTGCAGCATACAGATACAGTTATGATAACTTTGAGTTGCGGCTCAATTTTGTTTATGGTGGTTCCATTCAAGTTCATCCTAATGGCCATTGTGTCATGTGGATACATGATGGCATCCCCATTGTGGAAGCGTATGCATAATGAACAGAGTAATCGGCGACTAAGAGAATGGTGGGACTCTATTCCTGTCAGCCCTGTTGAAATTGTGGACTGCTCTAAATGATAGAAGATGTTATCGAGGTGTGTTTCTTTTTTCATTTACAGTTTTGATCATAAGTCGAACCAGTGGACGCCTTTTTGATTGGGTGCATCAATGCAGGATTTTATCCAGTAGCGCATGGCACGGAGAAGGTGCAGGGAGTATAGTTATTTATGAATAAAACATCGAGACAATTCAATGAATGTAGTGTTTTCATAGACGTTATGTATCAGTTACTTCCGACCTACTGCTAATAACTAAGTTTTAGCCAAGTTTTATACAAAGTCATTTATCTTTAAATTGTTTTAATTTTGTCACTTGCATTTCTAAGTTGTTAACTCGCTGGCAGTTCAATAATAAAAAGCTTATTGTAATTAAATATCTCATCTCGAGTAATGTTATTTAGAGGTGTCAATCCGGGTGGTCCGGGCCGGGTCGGCCCGCCACATGTGAGCCCGGTAACGGCCCGGGTGAAAAAAAGCCCGTCCGCTGCGGGTTCCGGGCCGGTTACGGGTCGGTCCACAATTTTGGACTACAACCCAGGCCCGCCCACTGACCCATCCGGGTCGAGCCCATGCGGGTCACGGGTCGCGCGGGTCACGGGTCGTTCCGGTTTGACCCGTATGATTGTATAAATAAAATTATAAAAATATAGAATTTTTCCGGTTTGGCCCATATGGAGAGCAACTATCATTGAAAATAGGATTTTGAGAAGAAGAATCGCGAGAATCCATAATATAGTAGGATTAAAAAATTTAGTAGTGACTAGTGAGAATCGAGAAGAAAGAAATATAATCAAGATGATGATGATATTTGCAATTGAATAATTGTAATTGTAGTAAGGTAGTAACAAGTATGAACTATGAAGTATAAATGTATAATAACTAATGAGAGGGTATTGTAAAAATAAATGTAAGAATAAATTGGAATTTATCGATGAAGGGGATGATATTACCGTTAGAAAATTTATATTACCATTAGTTAAAATTAAAAAAAAAAAATTGACCATGCAGCAAGCTACGCCTTTTTTTGAATTTTTTTTATTTTTATTTTTTCAAATTTTTTTGTTTGGCTCCCCCCCCCCTTTTTAATTTTTGTTTTATTTTTTTTTCAATTTTTTTTATGGGTCGCGGGTTAACCACGGCCCGTGGGGGTGCAACCCGCGAAGCCCGCGGGTTACACCTCCTTGGCCCGTGAACCGCCCGCACGGGTCACGGGTCGGCCCGCGGTCCCGGTTTTCAGGGACCAATTTTCAAGGGTCATGGCCAGCCCGTCCGTCTTGACACCTCTAATGTTATTTATCATAATGATGATGATGTAATATTTGTAATGTAGCGACTCATTATTTTTTACATTTATCTCTCTCCCCCCCCTTCTTCCCCTCTCATAAATATTGAACCGTTCAATCTGTAAGTGTTTTGTTTTAGGTTCAATCAACTTTGGACACAAATACTTTAATATATTTAATTGATGCATATTGATGACAAGATCCATTATTTAATTAAATAATGTTCTAATAAATTAAATAATAGAATCCGTAGATTCAAGTTTTTGTAATTTATTAATCACAAGGAGTTGTGATTGTCAGATACAAATTATATATGATCGAATATTAAATCATTCAGGTCGTAAGTAATAACGAGATACAGATATCGTTATTACGGATAGACCATTATATGTGGCATTTCTTACTTGTGAAGTAAGTAACTGATCCCATGGCTGAAGTGTGGTGACATTTAAGTGAAAACGTGGATGTTTTGTTATAAAATAAAACATTGGAAACCCGCTAAAGAGATTCCACATGGATAACTATTTGAATGTTAGTGGTTAATCTCTAACGTTCGGTAGTGGAATTGATCATTAGACTTGAGGTCATCATAGTGCCTTATATGAGGATAATCATACTTGGTGATATTGGACGTTGCTCTGCCACGGGTCACTAATACGATATCATTTGGATATGCTAAGAATCATATCAAGTTTGTGAATGATTAATAAAGGATTTGTCACTCTTAGATAGTAAGAGATTATGATCTATATTTTATTCAATTAAATTAATAACCAAATCATTGACCAAGGTGTACTTATAAGTCGAAATGAGTTTTCGATTTATGTTGACTTAATAATTGGATGAAAGATATGATAAATAATTGAGATTAACATATATATATCTCGTAATTGATCGGATCATATTGATGAAAAGATTATAGTCTCAAGATAAACGAACAAATTTGGGGTTCATAATGGCATGTTTTGATCGGATCATAATGATAAATAACATTATTCATCTCATTCTCGTACGTTAAAAGGCATGTTTTGGGGTTCACAATGGCATGTTTAGGGGTTCCTAGAATACTGCTCAGCTATATTGAAAGTGGTTGGTACAACTGATATAAGAACAAATATCTTGTTTTAGGATCTTGGAATAGAGCGATTTGGGGTGGCTACAAAAGAAATCCCAATATATGGCTACTGTAACGTGTCATTTAAAAAAGAAAAAGAAAAAAGAAATCTTTTTTTGTAAGGAAATTAGCAAAATGATTACTTTTAAAAGGTCAGATGGAAAATGTTATTTATGTTGAATTTTTCTAGAGCCGTGCTATTAGGCTAATAGGGGGCGCCACATGGGCGCCCTCTTCTTGAGCTTGGCATTGAGCCGGGCCAAGAAGATTTTCTCATTTTTCCATCAAATCTAACCTAGGTGCACAATTTTTTAGGTAAATTTTGAAATCTTTCAAGATCATTTCGTGAGACAATTGAATGGCACGTTAGATAGTTCTAACTATTTTGAAGATAGTATGATTAATTATGACAGTTTTTTAATTGATAGTTCGATAATCAAGACGGTTTAAATTATTCACGTTAAGCAGTTGAAACTATCTTTGACTAGTCGAATTGTTTTTCATCTTTCGAGATAGAATTATATTTCAAGGCAGTTAGAGCTGTCTACTTACTAGCAAATGTTGTGTGAAATGAACTCTCTTGGAAGATATTAAAGATTTGTTTTTAAGAGTTGTGTTCTCACTAAATAAGTCAGAACCTGTGCATCAATGCAGGATTTTATCAAGTAGCGCACGGGGAAGATGCAGGAAGTATAGTTATTTATGGATAAAACATGGCCGAAGGTTTCTCAGGAGTTTTCAGGGGCTCTCTCTCTCTCTCTTTTTTTTTTTTTTTTTTT